TCCGTCATCGGATTCAATCCAAACATACGGCAGGACCGATGTACGGGGTGACCCAAAATTGCGAAGTGAACTGTGACTTGGTGACGAACGGACTAAAATGATTGCTCAGAGATAACCTCGACACCAGTCCATACAGTTCCTGTTAACCTCCGTCGCATCGGAGTCGACAGGAAGAAATAAACAAAAAACCAAACAAAGCAACAAAAAAAAGGAAAACAGTTTCTAAGCAGAATCGCATTTTTCTCCCCTGCAGGTTTCCAAATCTGAGAGCCCAACCTCCAATCTACGCGCCAGCCAAGAAATGGATAAGACAGTGATCCTGGCCTACAGCGGGGGACTGGACACGTCTTGCATCCTCGCCTGGCTCATCGAACAGGGATACAAAGTCGTCGCTTACACGGTATCGGTTCGAGCGGGAATCGGCGTTTGTTCCGACCACAAAGTCCACGAGAGGAGGGAAAGAAAATACAGGATTCAATGTAAACAGTATGATTAACAGTAAGGCGATTAGTAAAAAGAAGCTGCTCGAGCTAATTGGAAGCTAATTGAGCTCTCGACGCACAGCGCGCGTATCATCATTATCTATAGAAAGGATTTATGACGCACGATTCTAACAATTATTTCGTGGAAATCAATATACGAGTGCCAATCCGTGGCTTCCCACGCGACGAGTCACAGCCTCCTCTCTCATCCGCAGGGAAACGTGGGCCAAGAAGAGGACTTCGACGAGCTGAAAAAGAAGGCTCTGAACATCGGCGCCACCGAAGTGAGTCCCCCTCCTCCTCCCCGCACGTCCGCTCGGTCGGGCTGCGGACAGCGGACTGAGGGCCAGCCGCTCGCACGGCTCGGACGAGATCGTGACGTCATGGATGACGCGGCCGTGGGACGTCAAGCGCGACGTCAGTCGGGACGAGGGGTTGCGTCTGGCTGTGTCGTTCGTGGCTGTCGGATTTTCGTTGGCAGGAAAAGTGGATTTTTTTTTTAACTAGTAAAACTCGACAATTACAAATATGACCCGAGTCATGACAGAATGTATCGTGAGTGCAGTCTACGTCTTCAGCCGATCTCCAACTTCGTTTAGGTTTAAGATGTGACGAGGATGTAGCCCTAGCTAATTAGTTAGTTGCAGTGGGAGGTCACTATCGTCTGCAAAGACCTCGGTCTTGCGGAAAAGAAATGGAACGAGTGCTTTCGCCATCCTAGTCGCCAACAGCACGACGTCATCGATGACGTATCGTGCGCCCTCGTTGCCTGGGAGCCGTTCGACGGGGATCGAGAACGCATGCAATCTATTCCGCTCTTCATTCTCTGATTCTATGATGGATCCTGCGTCTCGTCCGCGTGGTGACACAGGTGGTGATCGACGACCTGCGATCCGAGTTCGTGGAGGACTTCATATACCCCGCCCTGGAAGGGAGCCTCGTGTACGAAAGCAGGTACCTGCTGGGGACGTCCCTGGCCAGGCCATGCCTCGCCAAGGGGATGATGAAGGCGGTTGCGGCCAGGGGAGCCCGGTTCGTCTCGCACGGGGCCACGGGAAAGGGGAACGACCAGGTCCGATTCGAACTCGCTTGCTACGCGATCGACCCGTCCGTGCAGGTGAGTTGTTCACAGGGGGAAGGAATCGAGGTCTGGGGTCCGTTTCCCGACGGATCAAGATGACCCCCTTAAGCGAATTCGTGCGCCTCGGGAAGAAGTCGGAAGCAAGCTCTGGGATTTCCGTCCTGTCGCAGGTGATAGCCCCGTGGCGAATGCGGGAGTTCGTGGAGCGATTCCGCGGCCGGAAAGACCTGATGGCGTACGCGGAGAAGCGAGGGATCCCCGTCCCGGTCACTCCGTCTGCGCCCTGGAGCATGGATGCGAACCTCATGCACATCAGGTCTGGTTTACACTTTTCTTCTTCCGGTTCTCTTCCAGCGTGTTTTCGACCCGATTTTCGATCGCCGTTCGAGCATGAACGCCGTGGACCGTCGTCCGGCCGATCCGACCGATCGCGATGGAAATCCAAAGACAAAAGCCATCCTAAATTGACTGTAAAGACTCGAGGCATGCATATGGATGAAGACCGCATCCCGTAGGAAACGTATGAAAATTAAAACTCAGATGGGAGTCGAAGGCGTGGTAACACGTCGTAATGCGGAAAAAAAAGGATCTGAAACGAAGGCGAAATCCGGAACCTCTGAAGAACAGAACATGGATGCACTCCCCCCCTTCCCCCCCCCCCCCCCCAACCCGCGTGCCTTTTGCCACCGTGGATGTATCATGACCTCTGGCGGTACACTCAGCGCTTTCGTGCGGATCGTTCAGGCTCCTCTGCGTCTCACAGAGGCATTGCTTTCTTCCCCTTTGAAGCTACGAGAGCGGGATCCTGGAAGACCCGTCGTGCTCGCCCCCGTCCGACTTGTACCAGATGACCGTCGCTCCCGAGAAGGCAATCGACCAGCCTCAGTTCGTCCGCGTCCACTTCGTCAAAGGTTCGGAGTCCTTCTCGACTTTTGCGCCTCTCGTCGTGTGACTAGTTTTAAATCCATGAATCCACCTCGAGGAATGGAGTCGGAGAAGTCGGGTCCAAATTTTCCCAAATTTTCTATTTCTGACCGAATCTGCTGGACGACAGGAGCCAGCTCGTAAGCGGAATTCCTGCAACGATGACGAACCTGTTAAGGTTTTCGCAACCGGCAGCCAGGCAGAAAACACGATTTGCATCCTCTTCGCATCATCTCTTATCACTTGCATAAACCGCCTATAACTGTCCTTTCATCCAGCACGCGCGGCCGACAAGATTAACAGTGTTTTTACTACCTGCGTCGTCTAAGAGGAAATGCAAAGGCCAAGGACGCCAAATTCCGACGACTTCGCGATTTTCAGTCACGCATTCCCAACATAACGTCACGCAGCCACTCCGCGACCACTCCGCGACCACCCCGCGGCCACCCCGCGACCACCCCGCGGCCACCCCGCGGCCACCCCGCGACCACCCCGCGGCCACCCCGCGGCCACCCCGCGACCACCCCGCGACCACCCCGCGGCCACCCCGCGACCACCCCGCGGCCACCCCGCGACC